GTGCGTTTGCACGCGCTCCCCTTTTATACCCACGCTGCGGGGCGGGGTGCGCATGGCGAAGCACGCACGCCAACTGTCATTGGCTTGTTTAGTTAACACTCAAAGGTGATTGGGCTCTCGGGCGAGATCCCAATTCGTCAGTCACGACTGACGTAACGTCGAACGTGACTGACTGAAAGGGAACTACTGTTACCAATTATTCCAGTGGAGCTGTGTGTCTCTGTCTGTAGCATTTTTAAGAGGTGACGATCACCAGGGCTGAGAAGATCAACTGGGAAACTCTTTCTCACTATTTGACAATGCCTTATGCGCAACAGAAACTGACCACAGCAATGCTGATATATCATCGATTTTAATTATTTATTAAGAAAGTGAACTGATCCAACATGTGAGTGAGGGCTGAGATTAAAAAAAGGTAGATATTTTAGGTTTCCCAAGAAATCAGTGGGCGTTAAACACCCTTGATCGAAGGTTCTAAAATCCTTACTGATCAAAGCCAACAGTCCTTGTCACATTTGACAAACTTCCTTCAATACAAAACACAGACTATGGAATAAGACTTGCAAGCAAAAACAAACATAAGCTCACACGTCTATGAACCCACCTAAAGTCTGGTTTGGTCTGGTTTTTGTTGCACAACTGAGTTTCAATGCGATACAGAGTTCTTATGATGTGAATGAGAGTTTAATGAGACTACCGGTACAGAAATCCCTTGGTGAACGTCTAATTAGCCCAGTTCTATAATTGAAGCCTAAAACGAGCCCCTTCGAAAACATCTTTGAGTCCGCCTTGCTTGGCTGTCTTTGACATTGACTATATTTATACCTACAATCCCCTTTAGTGGCTCTTCTGAGACTAGCTAGCAGATTTACACAGGAAAAAACAAATGAAACTAATGACAATGTCACAAGGCCAAGGCTTCATCAAAAAGAAATCGCGCCTAGATTACTGACACGCCGACGTCTAGAGCGCACGTGGTTTTGGCGGCACTTCTAGACCGGTGGAGAACAAACGTGAAAATATAATTAAGCGTGAACCTCATCACCGTGGCTCTGGAAGAAGATGAAAGGGCGCATTTCTTCTGCATGAATGAGATGAATGGCGAGACTTCTTCGAGAAGTGGTGGGACAGCGCCAGATCACTAATGTGGATTGAGGCGTGGAAATGTGCTAACGACATCCCATCAACATTCTCCATGTTAGATCACTCTGAATCCCTTTGTGGAGTGTCTGCCAGCCGTGTCATATCGCCTGGCCCCGCTGGGCGCACTGTGTAAATATTACGGTATTCTAGGCAGGGGAGCCGACCCGGGACTTGTAGGGCGCTCCTCTGAGAGCTGAAGGTACGTCTGACTGAGGGAAGGCCGCTGAGAGGGCTGTCAGACGCACATCATGGGACTATCAAGTCTGCAAGGCACTTCTGAGAATGTGAAAGAATACAGCATCTTATCTCAAAGCAGAACATTCTAGTTCATAAATGAAGGCTGAAGCCCTTCTGAATACACAAAAAACAGTTCCCATATATGGTTTTACAGGAGTTTATATGGTTTTACTCGTTTGTTTATCAAAGATGGAGGTAGCATAAGTAGTGGGTGTAACAGTCATATGTTGAAAGCAGCAAATACATAACACTATTAACTTTCTATCTATTTATTTACTGACAAATATAAGCAGGGGTTCTCAAACTGGGGTCCAAGGACCACCAGGGGGCTGCAAGTGTGTTCTATGGTGTCCAAAGGAAATATGAGAGGGAAACTAAGAGGATTTTATAAAACCGATACACTAACTTTTAAGAAATTAATAATTCTTCATTAATAATAATTCATTAATAATGATTCATCTTGGAACAGATTGGTCTGATTCACGGCTTTTACTGTTGTTTTATGAGTGGGAATCACAGGGTACCTCACAATACAATATGATACATGGCTCATGATAACGATAATATCACGATACAGCAATTCTGCGATAATTGATATATTGCTAGACAATCCTATAATGATACATCTTGTATGCAGGTTTTCTCTCTTTATTCAAGTCCAACCTGCTGAAAATTCTGCAAAAATGAAAATTCTGTCATAATTTATTCACCCTCAAGTTGTTGTAAACCTGAATGAGTTTCTTTCTTCTGTTGAACATAAAAGTTATTGTGAAGAGTGTGGGTAACCAAACAGTTGCTTGTCCCCAGTGACTTCCATAACATTTTTTTCCTGTTAAAATACAATTTTTGGGTGAACTATCCCTTGACAAGCGGCAGCATGTTTAGTACAATTAGTCTGCTGTCGCTTTAAGAGCTGCATGCATCTAAGGCTGCGTTTACACTTGGCATTAACATGCGATCACCATGATTCGATCAAGCAGATCGGATCATCAGTCAATCAGAACAGGGCTCGTTTACGCTTGGCAACATCAACTGACTTTTCTATCTGGATAGCCGATCGGATCTGTCTTTCCCGCGCAATATTTAAATAAGTCTGCAGAGAATGGCCCGGTGCAAAGTCAACCTGAAGTGGTGGGTTTTCTTTTGAAAAGCATTTTCAGTCGTGGGACATTTTACAAATCAAAGATAAGTGTAGGAGTCTCACTAGCGCTCCACACGGGTCTTCTCTGGCTTTTTTTCTAACAGTTCGCGAGAGAGGGGGCGGCGTTTTGTGTGATGTCGACCTGCGAATGCAGGAAAGCAGCAAATACATAACACTATTAACTTTCTATCTATTTATTTACTGACAAATATAAGCAGGGGTTCTCAAACTGGGGTCCAAGGACCACCAGGGGGCTGCAAGTGTGTTCTATGGTGTCCAAAGGAAATATGAGAGGGAAACTAAGAGGATTTTATAAAACCGATACACTAACTTTTAAGAAATTAATAATTCTTCATTAATAATAATTCATTAATAATGATTCATCTTGGAACAGATTGGTCTGATTCACGGCTTTTACTGTTGTTTTATGAGTGGGAATCACAGGGTACCTCACAATACAATATGATACATGGCTCATGATAACGATAATATCACGATACAGCAATTCTGCGATAATTGATATATTGCTAGACAATCCTATAATGATACATCTTGTATGCAGGTTTTCTCTCTTTATTCAAGTCCAACCTGCTGAAAATTCTGCAAAAATGAAAATTCTGTCATAATTTATTCACCCTCAAGTTGTTGTAAACCTGAATGAGTTTCTTTCTTCTGTTGAACATAAAAGTTATTGTGAAGAGTGTGGGTAACCAAACAGTTGCTTGTCCCCAGTGACTTCCATAACATTTTTTTCCTGTTAAAATACAATTTTTGGGTGAACTATCCCTTGACAAGCGGCAGCATGTTTAGTACAATTAGTCTGCTGTCGCTTTAAGAGCTGCATGCATCTAAGGCTGCGTTTACACTTGGCATTAACATGCGATCACCATGATTCGATCAAGCAGATCGGATCATCAGTCAATCAGAACAGGGCTCGTTTACGCTTGGCAACATCAACTGACTTTTCTATCTGGATAGCCGATCGGATCTGTCTTTCCCGCGCAATATTTAAATAAGTCTGCAGAGAATGGCCCGGTGCAAAGTCAACCTGAAGTGGTGGGTTTTCTTTTGAAAAGCATTTTCAGTCGTGGGACATTTTACAAATCAAAGATAAGTGTAGGAGTCTCACTAGCGCTCCACACGGGTCTTCTCTGGCTTTTTTTCTAACAGTTCGCGAGAGAGGGGGCGGCGTTTTGTGTGATGTCGACCTGCGAATGCAGACACGATGGCTGGATTGCATTTACATTACACTGAGATCCGATCACAATGCGTCCTCTACTACCTCTGGACCAGGACACGCTGATCGGATAACATTCCGATCAGAAGCGCGTTTACACTTGTCTTTTCAAAGTATATGTGGACAACATCCGGATACAGGTCGCATGTTAATGCCAAGTGTAAACGCAGCCTAATATACAGGCAAGCATCCGTTTTTCTCTCAACTGTTTACATTCACTTTAGACATAACCAACTGTGTTTATATGTAAACCTTGTGTGTTTTGACAGTATTAGCATACTCAGACATGAAAGATAACTTAGTGCAGTAATCAGACGTTGTTTGACAGGCTTTTTAGTGTGCACGCACTCAAAAAAAGAGCATGCCAGAACTATTATTTCACTCACACTGTTGTCCGCCATTCCGTTAAAAACCTCTTTTTCTTAGGTTAGTTAACTTATGTTCGCTTCTCCCTCATTCATGTGTTGAGCACCATTTCGAGGAGCCATGAAGTAGCGACGCTGGGAGCAGGGAAATCTATTTACAGTGCCTTATTTTATTAATTAAAATATCGATATTTGGCACCAGCACATCGATTCTCATATCGCACGGAGAAGGACAATGATATATTGCCTTATAGATATTTTGTCCCACCCCTACTGTGTTGTTGTTGTTTTGTTTGTTTGTTTTTTATTCCTATGGTGACAAATTGATTTCTGGATTATGCAGTAAAATGATTGCTTGCTATGGTTTTGCCATGAGAGTTTTGTTCACAATTCAGTTTTTCTTTTTATGTAACCCCTGGTGAAAAACGCTAGTTTAGACAGACAGAGAATCAAGAAGTGGCTGAGAGTGAAGCAGAAATGTATTTTTCATAATTACACCGATTCAAAGAGCAAAGCCATTTCCCGTAACTGCACAGCTCCATTCATTCTCCCTCCTGTTCCTGTGTGTAGTAATTGTAATGATGTGATTGAGCTGGCATTCTAAGTTCCCTCGCATCCACAATAACAAAAAAGAGCTCTGGGCCCCCGTGTGGACGCGCTTCCTGTAGCTGTCACTATAGACCGGTAATTTTTTTATTTAAATGGTTGTATAACTCAGGGGCCAGAGACAAAATGAGCAGAGAAGAAGACTCCAGGACGAAATCTGAAGCAGAGGGTTATCGTCACCGCAGCTATCTAACACACTTACAAAGAGAAGGGGAGACAGAAAGCAGAAAAGTGGAGGAAGGAAGGAAATAGAAGAGATTTTTGTACTCACATCTGATGCAGGACCCTTATCTGCTCCTGGGCAGGAGAAGGTGACGAATTCATGGCAACGCTTGTGCACCACAAAGCAGCAGACTGAAAGAAGGAAGGAGAGAGACAGACAGATTAGATAAACGGTGAGAATCAGAGCTCATGGCACTGACAGGCATTCATCTGCTGTGACAAAGATCCTGTTTGATTTCATGTCAGGCCCCTTGACCTAACCTGAACCCCCCCAAACACCCCTCACATACATTGCATCACAATATAACACTGCACGAGGCCTAACTACAACCACTTAACAAAAAGTGGTCCTTGCGCACAATGAGTGCTTGTTTATTACATAATTCTTGGCTTTTGAATTGATTCCCAATTTGTGAGAGCTTCACAGTTGAAACAAAAGAGATGTGTGTGTGTTATGGCCATTTAAATGCTGTGTGAATGCTTATCACTGCCTATGTTTGTGCCCGGTGTGTTTCACTGAATATCAGTAGCAGTAGACAGTACTGTATACACTAAACTGTAAGCAGCATGCCAATCCGCATCAGAACTATAGGAGCTGAAACTACTATGCAAATGATGTGCTGTGCTGGACTGTAAATACAGTGGCCCCTCTGTTCACATTACTAATGCCCCTGGCACCTCTGCAGTGTGACATAACCAGGTCATCGTAGGGGCATCGTTCTTCCTGCTGCAGGTTAACGCTCCTATTCACTGAAGGTCACAGTGTGTATTTGATCTACTGTGTGAATATTTCTGATCGCATCACATGTTATAGGCATTTTCTTGTGGGAAATGACATCATGTCTCTCACGTTCAATCTTTCAGAATCTGCACTTTTAGTCTAGCAGCTCCGGCCAAAACACAACTTCAGACAGGCTGAACAGCCACTGTCACCCACACACTCCAAATGAATACTCCAGTGAGAAAAGAGAGAGATAAAGAAACAAAAACTGATTTGGAAGAAAACTGAAACATATGATTCAGTAAACTTTGCTCTTTTCATCTTTGTGATCCTAAATGAGTTAATAAAAAAATGATAATAATAATAATTATTACAACCTGTTAACAATAATACAACCTGAGCTAAACATTCAGGCAGCACCTAGTAACAACAATGTTCCTTCCAACACTTTTGAGCATGTACATCTTTTTGGATTGAGAACTGGGCAACATAACACCATATTTCGGTTAATCACAATATTCTTACAGTTTTAAAAAATGATGGTGCTACACAACCTTCATCAGACCCTTGGCTGGCTCTTTTGCAGATCTGTGGAAGGACCAGATCACTATAAAAACAATAAAGTGTTAACATGCAGTTTTACAGTCCATTAAAACCACTTTTTCTCGTTAAAAATGTTTTATTGAATAAACAGAGAAAGAAGATATGAAACAAGCAGAATCACATCTTTTCAGATCACATTTTTCCTTGATAGTACAATGATAGTACTAAGGAAAAAAATTAAGAAAAATAAATGAATGTGGTAAATATGACAATAGCAGTACTTGTACAGCTGAGAATATTACCAAATTGTCTCCCAAAAAAGGGGGGGGGGTGATCAGTTGGAGGGCAAAGATTTTAGGGAATTGATGCTATAAACGTTTGCCATTTATCATAGAATAGAGCTTCCGTCCAAACACTTTAATAGTAAATAAATACATTTCTGAATTTGATCTTTAAACTTCTCTTTAGAAGTGCATGGAATCACTTCAAAACAGTGCTGAATCCTGTGTATCTGAGCCAAAAGCAGACAAAAACACATGATAGATTTTCATCTCGCCTTTTGGCAAACACCTCCTTTTTGCCTCTCTTTTTAGTTCTCAGAATAAAATTGTGATGTGCTGGCTATGATCAGCACTTGAGAATGGTCAACACCACTTATCTTTTTACATCCTGCAGTGCAAATGCAGGATATGCATTATACACACAAGCTATATTAAAAGTATTCCACTGTAAAGTGATCAGGGATGGACTAACCATATAAAGCACAAAGACACTATAAAAGTGTTTCAAAAGGAAAGAAAAGTTCAGAGAGAATTAGGAACATTCTATGCTGATGCCACTATTGCCTTGTGCATGGGGAAACAGAACCACAGTTTCAGTAGTTATTTCAAAAGTATTCCAAATACTTTTTAGAAAATTAAAAAGTGTTTGTAAAATTATTGCAAAAGTATTTACAGGTAATTGTGCTCTTACCATCACTAAAAATAATAATATAAGTACATCATGATTATTGGTGAGTTTTCACTGCAACATAAAAAAGTGCTGCAAATATCACCACAATTTTTGAGAAAAGCCACAGAAAATTCAGTTATTTTCGGCCACAAAAAAAGTCCAGCGAATTCCTGGTGGGACTGGGCAGCACACGCAGCATCTAACATCATTGTGGTATCGGTCCATAATGTACAGCAATGCTAACCCTAGCTAAAAATACTGAATGCACCTTTAATACAGAACATGTGAGACACAAGACGTGAAATTTTCTGAAACCTTTATGTACCCATTTATAAGAACTGCAGCATGGAAGAGAGTGACAGGCACAATCTTCAAAATTTCATATGGGTTTTGACATATTAAGTAGATGATGACAGAATTAAAACGGTTTCTAGATTGGAAACTAAAAATAAAACAAAAACATAATACCAACTGAAATAAAACACTTATATTCTACAGTTTTGTAAATTTCCACAGCAGTGGGCGATAATCCACGTGCCACAGTTTGAGATCAACTCTCATTCATACAAATTAAAAAAAAAAACTGTTTATAAATAACAACAGTTCCTAATATTTAAATATTTATATAAATATATCTCTCATCATCTACTAAGAGGTCTAAGCATCAGGAAGTTCCTCTTCTGCTCTTGGTGACAGTGCAAAGATCAACACAGAGGTGAAGCGCAGACTGCCATCTCCAAGCGGCTCAGTTAAACAGCCTCTCACAGGGCCTACTGAGCGTACGCTTACATAATGGCCAGCCTGATCAGGCCCAGTATAGGAGTTTCCCTGACTCGTTCTCTCTCCAGCACTCTTAAATGGTCAGAACGAGAGAAAGGCTCATGTAGCAACCCACGTCCCTTCACAGCGAGACTGATCTGGCCCTTCATAATTAAACAGCCCATTAAATATCCATGCCATGTTAGCGGCTCAGCAACCATGCCAAACACCCCGTTAAGACACCAAACTTCGTCCCGGCAGATGCTGCTCAGAGCCATTCTGAGACTAATTCAATTAGCTCGGAAAAGCACGAGCATTAGTCCTCTCCTGCTAATCAGTCAGTCGCTCAGAGATAAACGGCAACGGTGCACACCCACGTACTCGCACACTTACAGCTCAAACACGCACACATACACGAGCAAGCCCACACAAACACACGCACTCGACATCCAAGCATATCTGCCTTCTGGACAACTGCGAACCTTTAAAAAGAGCCTCCAGTTATAGCAAGCAGAGTCTGGCCAGAGAAGCCGCGAAAGAACCTTTCACGATTTGAATTCACGGGCACGGGAGATGTGCGAGTGATCCCGGAGATGACTGGGAACGTTCATCTTGATATTGAATTCGGCCCAGCTGTCAGGAAGATGCAGATTAGGAGGAAGGGAAGGGAGTTTGTGTGCTTGTTTACTAGAAATGGAACAGCATGCAAAAGATATTCCTCATGGTGCAACATCACTAAGGCTTCATGAACACAACAAGGTGTTAGAGCTGCTAACTTGAATCGAGCTGAAGGAAACAAGCTTGCCAGACCCCCACCCCAAACACACACACAACCCTAAAGGAGGTGAATTAAATAGAGTTCAGCTGAGTTTACATGGGAAGCCTTGCTCTGCCGAAACAGCCAATCAGAACGCCGGGCGAAGAATGAATTCTGCACAAAGGAGGAAAAATAATCCTTACTATTTAGAGGTGGATGAAAATATGAAACATGTTGGTACTGTTAAATACCTTATGTGGCTTTTCATCCAAGTCTATTTATTATATTTCAAGTCATCTATATGCTGCTAGTAAGTGTACTCCTAAAATGATGAAAACCAACATTTATTGTGCATTTCTGAATGTAAATAAACTGGGACGCACGGTTTCAGTTATGTGGCCTTTTCTCAGTCTACAATGTTGAGCAAAGCATTCAAAAACATACCATGATATCATAAAATGATCATTGTTTTTGATTCACACCAAGTCTCAAAAAATTTGACATTTAAATTCTCGGACATTTAATCCACAATCCATCTCCATCTGAGGGCTTTTGAAGATCATGTAATGCTCAATAAATCTAATGCTGGTTAAAGGGACAGTTGACCCAAAAATCACCCTCATCTCGTTGCAAACTTTTATGTTCCACAAAAGAAAATCATAAAAGAAGATATTTTGAAATATGTTGGTTACCAAACAGTTTTGGTGACCTTTAACTTTCATTGTATGCTTAAAAACACTGAGACATTTGTCAAAATATCTTCTTTTATGGTTCACAAAAGAAAGTCATACAGCTTTGAAACAACTTGAGGGTGAGTAAATGACAAAATTTATGACAATATTTTTTTGGGTGAACTCTCTCTTTAAGTAACTTAATGCACAATGCATTCATCCTTGGCAAACCTTATTTTGCACAGACTCAATCCACTGTCTTCTCCCAAAATAACAGATGGTGAAAAAAGGTGCATTTAAGACCAGACCAGTTCATATATATTTTTATTTTTAATTTTATTTCATGTTTAGCTATACATTTTATTTGGGTTATATTTAAATTAAATACATTTAAAACAATTATTGGTGTATTCATTTTAACTGCATCTTCATGAAATTTCACATTTAAAACTGTTCATAAAAGTATGACTAAAGAAACTGAAACTTAATTAAAAAAAAAAAAACTTAGAAAAAGCTTAGGGCAATAAGTAACAAAACATTATTCTGATCCTAATTATGTTAATTTGCTAACCTAATATTTGTATGCAGCTTTTCCAACCATGACTAAACAACTGGGTTTAACAGTCTGGAAAATTATATCCCTTTACTGAGGAGATATAAATGATCAATTTAGGGTATATAAGACATGCTGTGAATTCTCACTCATTATCAAATGTTCACACACTGCGCA